ACAAGGAAGAGTGAGGGACAAGAGAGAGTGACGTACCTGGTGGAAGAGGAGGTCGGCATTGGTGTTGACGTCATCACTAGCTGGTCGTCAAGTCGTCTGGTTGCTTCCATGACTGTAGTCGTAGGATAGGTAGTGGAGTAGATAGGGCGCCTCGCGCCATTCAAGAGAGAAAGCTACTTTGGGTTATGTTGTTGGTGTTGCCCGATTGGGCTTGGACATTGACTCACGACTTTTGCTGTATCGTTCTCAAATGGATGATTGCTCGGTTCCAATGTGTTATCTGCTCTTGCTTTGACTACTCGGACTTCAGTGTGATTTGCGATTGGAATTTCTTTGCTTGTGCCTGATTGTCACAACAGGCTTGTGGGAATAGGGTACACCAGTCGAACCAGGTTCATTCGCCTGGCTGACTGGCCCTGTTAACACTCAGGGCTACGTGTCACGTGGCCATCTCGGGTGTAACGGAGGGGCGTTGGGAGGGTGGTAGATTGGGTGCGTCAGCGGAGTTGTCTCGCCATCCTAGTGCCTCAACATCATTAACAGATCAAGACTTAGTAGCGGGTTCGATTGGACGTCTTCATCAGCATTGTAGCGAGTTCGACTGGACGCCTTCGTCAGCATTGTCCTTGGTTTACTGTCATCCACCATCAGCATTGTAATCGCCATCAATATGTCCAATAACATCATCTTCGTCATCATCATTACCATCATCTTGGTGGTGTGTCGTATCCTGGCGGGAATCAGAGTCATCATCATTCGCACTCTCGTCATCAATATCAGCGTCCTTTAGTTAGGTAAGTTTGTTTATATATCTAATTATCTATTCGGATCTCTCATTATATCCTTTCATTAGTAAGAACCTAACTAATTATCTATAACTAATATTCAGATTAAAATCGTTTCACATTCCTCATCCTTCTTTCCCTCGTTTCTTGAAATTTCTGGCCTTAATTATCATTTTAGGTATTTTATATACTAAAAATTCTTGACGAAAAATCCGTTGGATTTTAGTCTCTCAGCTATTGCCACGTGGAGTTATTTCACAGAATATTCACTAAAGTTTAATTAGTACTTCTTATTTTTTCTTATTTGGTTTTTTCGTAGTCTTACTAAGGCTACTTCTTGTTGCATTTATTAGCGTTGTTATCTCATTTTATTGCCACGTGGATTTATTTCACGAGACATTCACTAATTTTTAAGTATTACTTCTTATTATTCGTTCTATTTGAAATTTCTAAGTCTCTTCAAGTCTATTCCTCGTTGAATTTTCGTCATAATCTGACTATGTTTAATTTTCATTTCAATTCCTTTTCTGAAATTTTGGTCTCCTCCCTGTAGTATTCACGATGCTTTCTGAGGGAGGGAAGTAAGGGTCAGGGGAGAGCCCCATTCCGCAGGGGTGACACAAGGCGGGAAGTGTTGCCCTGTAGGGGGTGTGAGCAGAGTGAGAGGGTTACCTTAGTTTGGGGTTGGTGGGAGGGTTACTCACACCAGCAGGGGCAGATCAAGGTAAATGGTAGGTAGAGGCATACTTTGGGAGGGAACTGTATGCCTTTATGGGACGAGAAGGGGGAAGGGGGGACTGTCACAAAGTTGGGGCTGTGATGGGTGGCCTGTAGTCTGGGTCATTCGTTTCGGCGGAGGCAACGATGAGACAGGGGGGAAAGGAGGGGAGGGAGGAGGCAACAATGATCTGATTCTTGGCGTCTTTTGACATTCTTTCTTATTTCGGGATAAAAGTGTGTCGGAGGTGATTGACTCTGGACCAATATCGGCAGAGTTGGTCTTGTTCTGAGCTCCTGGTCAGCCGATGCCAGAACGACGCTGGCTGGTGCTGGGGTAATGCCCTGTAACCCGCATTGGCGGGAGCGTGAAGCCTTGTAGAGAGATCTGGGGATTGCTGAGGGAGGAAAGCAATTCAGTGGCTAACTGGGGGGCCTGCCTGGACAACCCAATGGGGCTAGGGATAGTCTAGGTGGCGAGAACAGGTCAGCTATGGTGGGTAATGGTTAGGAGGCCATTGTCTCTGAGATGTTTTGTCTTGAGATAGGGTGGGCTAGGAGGCGTGCACCTTCATCATAATCATCATCATCATTAGTATCATTTGTTTTTGGTTTTCTAGACCATGATAGTATCTGGCCTTTGTCCTTATCTAGGGTATTGGTGCTCAGTGATGGTGGAAACTGGACTGACGTCAACAGAGTTGCTTTGTTCTGTGCTCCTGGTTTGCCGATGCCAGAACGACGCTGGCCGGAGCTGGGGTGCTGCCCTGTAATCAGCAAATCGCTGAAGTGTGAGGCCTTGTAGAGAGATCTGGGTGTTGCCGAGGGAGGAAGGCAATTCAGAGGCGAATCAGGGGGGGCTGCGAGGTGGCGAGAAGAGAGCAGCAATGGGTGATGTTAGTTAGGTTGGCTTTGTTTCCGGGTAACTTTATTCTGGTATAAGGAAGGTTAGGTGTTGATCTAGGTTTGGGAGGCTATAATAGGTGATACTACATAGTTGTAATCTTGATCAGTAGTGGAGTCAGTATCACTTTCATCATTCAAGACTGTGGTTTTTGATTCGGTGTCTCCGGGCAGACTGTGAGGACCCCAGCCTCAATATTATCATTTGGAATATCAGCCTTGGGCACTGGGCCCGTTTCAAAAAAAAAAAAAAAAAAAAA